GCCTTTTATTATCGATACATTTAGGTGGATTCCACACTACAGCCAGTTTACAACAGCCACATTAACGAGATGTTTTAATTGTACAATGTGAATTACCGAGGAATTTTCCGAGGCATTGCGCGAATAAATTCGTCTCAACTGGTCGTCATTCGTTACATAATCTCGGTGCGATAGCAATCTCGCCAAATCGATTTCCAATGTCGAGCAATGACCCTCACCTTCGGGCGTCCCATCCATTTCCGTCGGAATCGGGACGTGGACTCACAACCGGACGACAATCGAATGCGATACTACTCGGCGCCGGAGTTCTGTCGCGACCTTGAACCTCTTGGAGATTACGAGGTCGCTGACCCGACCGCTGACGCGGAATCGCTAGACGGTCGATCGCCTTCCTCCGTCAAATTACGCTCGTCGTATCTTGAACGAACATGTCCCGTTGCCCGTTGCCCCAATTCATCTCTGCATTTCGATAACGAAGCGATTTCGTACATGATAGCCTGGAGCGCGTTATATTAAAGTTCGTCAGGTACAAGGCCGTATACCTCGTCGATATACCCAGCGGAGCACTTCGATTTCATAATTTCTGGGCACGCTGTATATTAGCGCACTCGAGTTCGATATCGCCGATGGAATTTTCAAACTGGTTATTTGTGTTGCGTGTTCATGTGCATTACACTACTGACGGTATTCGCGATTCAAATTTGCTAAATTTGGCATGTACCGTCGAGAGAATGCGTTTGCGCTGTCGCGAGCCGATCTCGCATTTCCATCAATCGGGATCGACTAACGGTAATTGAACGATGTATTTTGTTTCCAATATCTCCGGGGTGTATCGTATTGGTCACTATATGTGTGTGGATGACGTTTGTCGCGTAATCACCAGTGGTTGCTATTTCCATTCCTCGCGGTATATTTCTTTTTTTTATATGAAACGTAGGATGCTTTTTATTTAGTGTCACGAGTCAACGTAAACATCGTTAAGGTGTTTACCTGGAAAATCTGGAATATTTTTAGACTTATTTTTTACTTTTGAAAATCAGGAATTTTCATAGAATTTTATCGTGACTCGGAGAAATTTTTGGAATTTTACTTTTAAATTTAAATTCTCTCTTTCTGTAAACATTGTTTCTTTTAATCATTTTTCATTCATAATGCAAAATATTGACAATCAGTTAATAATAAGTATGATACATACCCATACATTCAAGTATACATATAGATATCTGGTATGTATATTAGGGTGATAACAGAAGACTCAGAATAGAGTATTAAACTCATTGAATTATGTTGTAACGAACGTTCCCTTTATTATAGGTTTTGCTCCTTCTAATTGTAGAAAATGATAGATAATTAATCTTGGAATTGTTTTCAACTAATTTTTAAATAGTTCGTGTTGCATTTTAATTTATTTCAAAGTTGCATAAAAAAAAATTTCTAATCTTATTTAGAATTTTAAACAAAAATACCTTCAAAATACTGGGAATATCTTCAAAAATACCTTTAGAATCGGGAATCCTCAGGGAATTTTTTTAAATGAGATTTCAGTAAACACACTCGGTCTCTATCTTTCTTAGCATGAGTAACAAAAACAGAACGACACTTGTGTCTATTTGTGTCACTAATTAATGGAAAACACCTATAGATACGCGACATTTCGCGCGACAAGTTTAGCTGATGATTATGAATTATCATTTCGGTCTCTTTGAAGCTTTGTGATTCAGCTCGTACGTTTCCTGCGTTCGCGTTCCGATAAAAGCGCGGCAGGTTCGGCGCGAGCGCGTTGATTGTTATCCGACCGGAATCTCAGGCAACGTAAATCGCGTAATTTGCATTCGACGGGCGGTACAACCCTTTTGCAGATTTCGCGAAGGAGTACGGGTTGAGGAGGCGGCAGTGCGGCCCCCGCCTTTCTCATAACCTCGATCGTAAATAACCGCCCGTAAAACCCCGTCCCAGTTTCGCGGCGGTGAAACGATGTCGGCGTGCTCAGCTTTCCTTTCCGCCAAACGGACTCGGAGAGAAAGAGAGAGGAAGAGAGAAGGAGTGGAACAGAGAGAGGGAGAGAACTATTGTAATTATTCTCAGGGTATCCGATCTATCACGATCATTTAATCTTTTGATGCTCAGTGATCTCGAAGCAATATTGTTGAGCTCTCCTCTTGTAGGATTTTGTGTATATTTTTATTTGATAAACCTATTAGAGATCTATATCACAGAGAGTAGATAGCGATACTGATGTTTTTGTACTCGTTTAAACTGTTTACGTATATACGTTAAGTCTGTATTAGGGTGTACCCAAAAATCTGGATACAGATCGATCAGCTTTGAAACTGTACAGCTTTTGTATGAAACATTTATTTACAAAAAAATGTTTTTGAGGAAAATGTTTCATACAAAGGGTGTAAGGTTCCAACAATGCATCAAACGGGAATATTTTAGATTTGATTCTGAATGTAAGAGTATAAAGGAGCTCTCGAAAGGTCAATTTTAATAATGCTAATGCCGGCGACATTTGAACTTTGTCAATTCATATCTCGAAAAATGCTTAACCAAAGGGAGATTTATTACAATGTTCTAAAAAGATCTCGATGTCAGCTGTAAAAACATTGAATAAAAGTAGGAGTTTCTATTTAAAATTTTAAGGTTGACCTTGGGAATTCTTACACTCAAGATTAAATAAGTATCTCTGTTATATTGTTGAAATTCTACAACTTTTATATGAAACATTTTTCTTAAAAATCCTTTATTTATAAGATATTCGACCGTCCAGATTTTTGGCCCATCTTGTACGTATCGGTTCAGTTTCTTTTATATACGAAAAATCGATTTCGATCCAATGTTACTTGAAGAGATATTCATTTCCGCACGATTGTACGCCGCGCCGTTTCCCGCTTTTTCGTAACTTAAATCCAATCGGAGGAAGAGAAGGCAGGCGCGGGGGAGGGGGGGGGGGCGCGTAGATTCCGCATGAATAATTGAACGCGAGTTTGCTGCCGTGAATGAAATCGAGGCGTGGCCGTCCCCGCCGGCCGGCCGGCTGGCCGACCGACCGACCGCACGGTCGATCGCGAGAATCGAGCCCGCAATAAACGAGCTACTGCCAGAGGCGCGAGGAGAGAGAGCAATCCGCAAACTTTTCCTCTAAAACTGCGAATTGAGATTTGCGCGTGGAACTCACACAGATAAACCGATTCAGGAACGCGTAAAGTGCGCAAAAATACAAGCCAAACGAATCATATACGTCTTAATCAATCCTCTTCTTCACCTTGAAATTTATGGGTTGTTTTCGAAATTTTTGCAAAGCTAGTAGAGTTCTCTGGCATTATATCTCTAAAAAGAGAGATTTTAGAGAGTGTCTCATGCATTACGGAAAAAATTCTGGCGAGGACAAAAATAGATAGTTTAATTTAATTAAGAGATTAATATGAACAAATACACCTCGATTGGATATCAAAGGAGCAAATGGCGACTTAATTTTTTTATTAGATAATTTTGTTATTTTTAACTTCTGTGTATATTTAAATAATGTATTAATCGATTTCTGCAGTTTCGAAGTAAACAACGCCCATATTAATGTATGTCCGCTTAATAAATAATAAACTAAATTTGAGTCAAATTTAATACATTTTTTGAGTTAAATTGTTCAAAATGACTTATCGAGTAGTAGTGGCGATCTGTAGTAATGATTAAAAATGATTCAAATTGGATATATAATTTGATATTACGAATTGTATTACGATGTACTTGTGTTCCACCAGATGTCTGAATCAAATATTTGATTTGGATTAAGAAAGCTTTATAAATACGCGCGTGTATGAATATTGTATACCGGTACACGTAAGAAGCGTCTGGCCACGTGCTGTTTCATATATTCCGGACAGGTACCGAGCACTTTTATTCCGCTATTCTCGCGGTTCATCTCCTGCGCTCATGAATTTCGAATACGGTGGATCACGGTAACTGGGTGAAAACGGGAGGAGGAGGAAGAGGAGTGTGAAGCAGACGTGGAGAGAAGATCGGGAGGAAAAGGAGAAAATAAAGGAAAAAGGCCTGAGGGAATCGCGTGTTGGCCGGCTATTAAGCATTCCTCTTACTCGGTTATACACGCCACATATTAACACCGGGATTTTCACTTATATTGACTCCTTATTGCTTCATATTCCTTCCCCATGAGAAGGTGATACTGAATGAGTTTGCCTTCCACCAACAGAACAGACATTTCTTTCTCGTCTTGCGATCGTTCACGACGTAACTTCGTAATAAATCGATGAACTTCTTCGTCGAGTGTAATCAAGGATCACATTCTTGGCGAGCATTCCTCGTTGTCTTTCTCGATAAAGAATGCACCTCGGGTCGCGTTGACTTTACTGTCAATTCACATCGGTTGCGAAAATTATGAAACTTATACAATGAGAAAAAAATTTTGAGAAAAAAAAACAATCAGAAAATTCTGATTTATCTATTTCTAACCAGAATTCCCATTAATACAACAAAAGATTTTTTCCTGCGTTTTTTTTTTAGTGTGTTATAAAAATGAAATTAACTACTCTTTAAATTCTTTGAAGTGGAATCTCACTCTAGCTGTAAAGAAGTGAAAATTGAGCTGATCTTGAAAAAAAGTAACTCAATTTTCAATTTTTAAGAGTAACATTTTACTTTTAGTTAAATTCACTGTAAAAGTTTTAGAGAATATGTAAAACTCAAATAAAATGGCGAAATTACACGAGTAAAACAGTTTAAAAAAAATTAAATTTATATAGCGATATAAATTTATATGTGTCGAGTAATTAATAGAGATATAATAAAAAAATTAAACGTTTTATGTGAATTTTTTGCACATTGCAAATGGCACATGAACGAAAATTTCGATTGACCGATTAGTGTTCCGAAAGAAAACTCGAAAGAGTTTTGTCGTGTCTTATCACCCTTATCACCTGAATTATCCGGTTGTGCTCGGAACGAGAACTTTTGTCTAAAAGTATACGTATCTTTATTTTCAGCCTGGCGAACTCTGTCCCTCGGAGAGCCCCGTGAGTGAAAGGAAACGCGGAAACGGAGCTTCCCTCCGGCAATTACCGAGACGATCTTTCACGTCGCCCGGAAAGCGGAGCTTGGGGATAAGGATCGACGAATGGGAATTTATACGTGAGTAAACATACATGGTATATCGCGTAAATACTGACGAACAATAAAAAATGATGTATCGATATTATCAGCTATGTACGAACATGTCGAAAAGTCATATAAATTGCATATACTCTCTAAATCTTTCAAAGTGAAAATTGAGCCAGTCTTGAAAAAAGAGTGAAAACTATTCACTCTTGAACAAGAGTGGCGGATTTTTACTCTTTTGTTATATGCGATTCTATAATAATCTTTTTATAAATATCTTTTTTTTTATATTAAACATTAACGCGTTTTTTTTTTAAACAGTTGTTTATGAATTGAGAGTTTCGTACGTTTATAATTCGATGAATTATTAGCTTTAGATTGAAACATGAAGAGATTATGAAGACTTATTTACATATTCTATTCGCTGTGTCGCATTATACCGATACATGGTGATTAATTCCCGTTTAACGACGATAAATGGGGTTGTCGTTGATTCATTTTGTCGTGCGGTATTATAAGTGTTCGAGCTCGAGTGGTGCTAAAAAAAAATGATGCGTTTAACGCAATTAGGCTTGTCTCGTGGAGAGCCAATGACCTTGTTACCGATTGAATGTAATCAGACGGCTCCGCGAGTGACATGATTTGCAGTTTGTGCAAACGTTTAATAAACTTTTGTATAAACTCCATTAATAATTCGTTCTTTCGTATAATCTGTATGTCACGAGATGTAAGTTGATCTGACTTATTGTTAGCTTATTTGAATTGCAAAACAGTAGCAAAAGTTTGAAAAGTCGAACGTTGTAATCAGTAATTTTTATATCACACTTAATTTGTATATCACAAAATAATTGAAAACATTATTATTGAATGTTTACAAATAAGTTAACTCTCAGAATAAGAAAACAAATTAAATTTTCTTGGCTCAAAAATAATGAATATTATTATTCTGCTTTTGCGACTATATGTTCAATTTTAATATTTAAAAAAATTATCGCAATATTTGCAAACATTGAGGTATTAAGATATCCCAAATATCAAAGTTCATGGACGATCAAATTACGGAACGTTGACATTTTCAAATATCAGTAAAAAAACAAATTTCTGCTCAAAGCACAATCACATTGCTATGCTAATGCCAGTCGTTGAAGAGTTATATGTGATATTATATAAATTGTAGCATGTGTGAATATATACGAGGTAATAATTGTTTAGTTGCTGGAACTAAATAGTCATTTTCTGTAGAGTGAACACAATGAAATAAAATACTGTATTATATAAAAATTATTTTTATTAACATATCAGCATACGATATTTAAAACATACATATATGTATATTATACATAAACTTGTAGCAATAAATACAAAAAATGACTAATACTTTGGTTTTATTATAGTCATATATATTTTCGGAATGATGACCATTTAATAATAACTGAGACGTTATTAAAAAAAAATTATAAAATACAATTGGCCATGCAATCAATAAAATTTTTGACGTTTATATAATATTTATTTTTATAGATTTATAAATATATTTTTTGCTAATTAAAAAATAATAGATTTCTTTGCAGAGTAATGTTTCATTAATCTCATTTTGTTTATTTATTATTATGTACTAATAAGAATAATGGCTATTTAATTTCTTAATTGTCACCTTGTGTACAATTTGTGAATTAATTTTTTGTCCAATTTTATGATGATGCGCGCAAAGTATGTTTGATATCTGTGTTTGAGAACTTTGAATATCATACGAATAGTGGAATATGGAAAATAACATAAAAACTTTTTAAAGAAAAGCTGAAACTCTATTAATTACTGAAATTTTGAAAATGGGATGGCAACTTCACAAAAGTAAGCAACATAATGCGGTTACAAACGTACACATCCATGCTTGCAATGTATGCAAGTAGTTTTTGAGAAAATCCAACAATAGATGTTCCGTACATTCCAGGAACTTTCCCACGTAGTTGATATGTAAACTCTTTAGAATTTTTCTCACCAACAAGTTTATGTGTACGTGTGTATATGAATAATACGTAAATTTCCTGATAGTAGTCATTCAACGATAAAATACATAATTTTTACGAACTTTGAAAACGCGATTGAACTTCAACTTTTAAACTTAATATCGTATTGAAATTAAAAATCGAAGCATTAATCCGTCGTTGGTTAGTAGCATCGTTTTTCTATCCGTTTCAGTAGATTAATGCCTATTAGTATCGTTTATTAACGTTGCAATTCCGTTCGTCGTTCTCATGCATTGCGTTATTATACGTAATTGACAACTGAACTGATTAATCGTATTGCAACCGCAGTCCGATTAATAATAAAAGCGAACTCGCGTTGTGACCAAAATTAAATGAAACTCATTAATTTGTTTTACATTTTCGCGTTGTATTTATGGTGCATGATCGACAATCGTCCGAGTGAATTCCAGATATCGAGAGGAATGACGAACGGGAGGTAGTGCGTGCACGCTGATGGTGCGCGAGACAGAAATCGAATAATATAAATAATAAAATCCATATGTCTCAGTTACTCGCAAGTCAGGAGAACCGGACGAGTGCGGACGATGTATCGTGTCGCAATAGTCGATAGTATCGAGCTAGCTTATGTTTCTGTCAAGCTACTAGCAATACCAAAATGAGCAGAATCTAGCTTACGATGGAGAAAACGAGCACGAATGATTTGCGAGAGCTTCGAGAGAGACTACATTGAACTTTAATTATTCCTCACATCCTCGCGCAGACATGAGCATTAAAAAGAACACATTATGCGAAAGTACTCACGATCAGATGCTGAGATTGTGAGGTTTCACAATCAGGTGATGTTTACGTTTCGCTACTAGTTTTCGGTCTCTGTCTCGTTTACAATGAGACGGAAGCAAAAAGAACGAGGATGAATGGAAGAGCGAAAAGTTGTAAAAGTACGGAAGGATTGTAAAGTGTCAGACGGAAAAAGCTGTTCTTTATAATATTTCTCTATATTTTTTCCCGAAAAATAGTATTTATTTATTTACTTTCGGAAGAGAGAAGGAGAAAAAAAAAATGGAAAAATTATTTGTTTATACATTCACACATATGTTGATTATTATGTATCTTCTCTTAAATGATACCTGCAAAAGTTTTCAATATTACTATCATTATTGCTCAATTATTTCTTACTGTTGTTACCAATAGGTAATTAGAAATTGATAACTATAAATTTTAAGTATTCCGTTCTCCGTGTAGAAACAATCGTTTTAGTAAATATCTTTATTATCTTATTCCAATTATCTTGTTTCGTAGAATTGGTAAAAATTTATGTATAGCGCCGCGAAGAATTTGTATTTGGCCACGTTCGCGAGTGATTCTTATTCAAAAGCTTTTCATACTCTTTGTCGACCGTTTTCGTATCGGCGACGTTCTCGGTCCTTTCACTGTCGTGAACCAAAAAAAAGAAGAAGAAAAAAAAAAGTACCGTGCCGCCACCGAACTTGCTCGTCCTGACGCGCAACACCTGTTGAATCATTAGCCCGTCTGCGAGCTTAACGAGAACGGCAGGTAAGTCAGTGAATGACACGGTCGTGTAGTGCGCGTTTACGAGCTGTCTGTCTAATTGGCACGCACTCGCTTTTAAAAGTGTTGTCGTCATCGCGGTTGTGATGTATGGTCGTCCGTTCCGCTTATGATTGACGTCCGTCGAGGATAACGGAAACGTGCTGCAAGGTAACCATTAACCGAATCTAATCGTAATAAAAATATCTTAGCTTGCAATATGGGAGCTGCTAAAGACATTTTAAACATCTGAAAAATTTATATGTAAGGATCGTCACGCAAAATAACATAAGCTGCATAACCGCAGCGTGAAGCTGCTGGACCAATGAGCGTCTTATGTAAATCGATATGACGTTTTTATATTGGATGCTCATTGGTTCAGCGGTTTTATACCGTGGTTATGCAACTCGTGTCATTTCGTGTGTGATGGCCTTAACTCTGTTTATTCGAAGTGACAGATGAAGTCGCATCTTTGATCATGAAATGATACGTTCAAATATAAGTCTCTTGAGTAATCGCTGAGGCTATATTGGATCGTGACGTCATAAGCGAGAAATGACACGTTGAAGTTTCTTGCATGCCGTTTGTAAATAAAAAGAATTTAGGTGAAAAAAAATAACGAGACGAACTTTAAAACATTTGTAAAAATAAGCTGAAGCCTTCTTCTCCTCCCCGACAGTCAATAAATAGTTGTAAAAGGCACTTAAAGTGAAAATAGGTTATGCATGTATATTACAAGTAGTAAACACTGGTGAACGTACTTCATGTTTTTTACAATTGTTTTAAAGCAACTCATTATTTCGTTTCACTCAAATTCTCTTTATTTAGAAATGGCACGTAAAAATACTTCAGTATCTATATATTTCTCGTTTATGACGTCACCATCCCATATGACCGCGGTGACTATTCAGGAATCTTAAAGAGAGTTCATCGGTTTTTTAAAAATCACATCCACAATAAACTACTGAAAACTTGCCCAAACGTGACATATTTATTGTGCAAAAGAAAAGCTTATTTTTGATAGATTTATTATTGCAGTTTAGTTTTTACTCGGCTACGCATACTAATTTTAGGTATCGTTATATGTGGTATCGTTATCCCTCCTTACTCTTTCTTATCCCCTTTCTAGCAAGCAGCGTGTGAGAAACTGTTGTTTTCGATTCTCCTAACAACTCCCGAGATAGTTGGGGAAGTTTGGGCAAATGTTACGATCAAACGGTGGCGAGAACGTCACGGAACGTCGAATAAACTGTTGAATCGCCACCCGTATAGAATCAGTTTAAATCAACCATTAGTATTATCCTCACAGCATCTTACAACTCCGTTTGTCTTATTCGTGCCTTTTTGCTAGTTACCTGGTCGTTCTCCGACTCGGCGGAGACAATTGCCCGACTTTAACGAAGAAAGTTCGATGTTTACTTCGTTCCGCTGGGCACCGCTTTCACTAACGCGGTTTTGTTTATCTTCTTTATCTTTTCCATTTGTATTCTTCATTCA